CCAATTTGCTTGGGAACCTTAGACTACATGGTATAGTGATGGATATATCGTTCAAACACCACTCGAACACCACAACCTTACAATAATACTTAGCTGCATTTAATATAAAGATCATATCCATCGCTTTTATACAGATTGAAGAGTAGTGTCGTCTACACATATAATGTATGTTCAAGATAAAATATAATAAGAGATATATAGATATATCTTGAGATCTCATCTATCATTAACACATGCAATGCCGTCTTGCATCTTCAATTCTTGGGATTATTTTAAGAATTTAATTTGTGTCTCGTATGATTAAGTCGAGATGTGGATGTCAATCAGTTAAGCTAGTATGTAGGACTATAGGTGTTAATTCATCTTTCGAAGGTGATATCTAATACAAGTTCTCTGACCTTGTATTGAACTATATAGATCAAGACGATCACTATCTTTATAATTCCCTAAATATACGATTATGTATTAAAAAAAATTAAGACTTAAATAGATCAAATTTGTGATTATAGATAAAACACACACGAACACAAACCCCATCAATTCTCGATATCATTTTAAAACAAATATATTAAATTAAGATGTGGATGTTAATTAGCCTAGCATATATGTACCTTAGGTTTAAAGTAATATTTGAAAGGTGATATCTAATACGAGTACAAGTATTTGTGACCTTGTATTGCGTTGTATCCCTATCCTTATGATTCCCTATATATACGATTATATATTGGAAAATATAAAGATTTAGACAGATTAATTTGTGATTATAGATACAAACAAACATCTCATCACTATTAACGACGCTTTTGAAGAAATTTTTCATGCCATATGTCACAATATTGTTTTTGGGGGGAGGGGGGGTTGGTTTGTTAATTGTTATACTATAATGCAATAGTCTTATACAGTAATACAGTATATAGATGAACAGATCATTCAACCTCTTTAACAATTAAAAGAAAATTGTTTTTATCCTCTAGTAGAAAGATGTGCATCTCTTAATCAAAAGATTGTAAGATCAAATCTCACTATAAGACACTTTGGGGGTGGGGATTCTGTTTTCTAATGACCATTTAGTAGTGTATTAAAAATGAATATGATTATCTTATAGAGCCGGGACATGGTGTTCATTTTATATGTACTACAAGCTTGTCTCATAAGGTCTGGACTTGCCGGTATATAATAACTGGGTCGAATCAACTTCAAGCTAAAAGGCGAATCGGGCTTTGGTTCATCTTTGCAAAGCTTATCGGAAAGACCAAAAGTGATAAGGTCTAAGAATAAGAGTACAAATTTTTAACTAGACTCTAGTGTATGTAGCTTTCCCTACACCCCCTTTCTATACTACGTCGTTTTATCAAGCAGCTACTTTTGCATAATTTTTTTTCCTTCCCTTCTTTACCTTCCATTCAAATAAATACTGTATATAAACATTTTTATAGACTTCATTTTCTCTCTCATTTCTTTCACCAATTTCATTTTCTCTCTCCTCTTTTTCACCAATTTCATTTTCTCTCTCCTGGTTTTTTTTTTGATTTATTGTTTTTCAATTTTCTCTCTCTTCTTTCATGGAGATCAATATAAGTAATTCTTACTTTTAATGATAATTAGTCAATTGTTTTGATAATGCTTTGTTTTACAATTGTAATTGGATGATTATAATGATCTGATTTCATAGTTTTTGTTGTATTGACTTTAATTTTGATAATGCTTTGGTTTTGTTATTGTTGTTATTAGTTGATTAATAATTTAGTTTGTATTGTTCATCTAATTCGGGTTTTTTTTTTGTATTTTTGATTGTTGTTTATTCCAGTTTTGTGCGTTTCGTATGAGTATATATTGTTGTTTTAATTTTGCTATTCGATTATTTTTACCAGTTTTGTGCGTCGTAAAAAAATAATCTTAGTTAAAATAATGATCACTTCTGTAACAGTAAATGTTCATTTATATTTAATGTATTTTTTATGTATTAAAATACTTGTATATGTTTATTGTAGTTGTATTTGAATACTTATGTTGTACATGTGAATTTCAATTATTTTCATTGTTTTATAAATGCTCATATACATTTTAACTAGTGAATATATTTTATATTTGTTCTGTTGTAATAATGTTCATTTATGTAATTATAAATGTTCATTTATATATATACTTGTGTTTATGGAATTATATGTTGTACATGTGACTTTTTTTTAATGATTATCATTATTTTGTAGTTTCAGAAATAATGTTCAGTTATATGACGATAGATGATCATTTATGTTTTACATTTGGTAATTCAACTGTAATTGACCAAATGCATAATTATAATTGAACATTATTGCTAATGTAATTTATTACATGTTACATTATTGCAATGGGAAAAAAGGATATTATTATTTTTGAAGAAGCAAGTAAGTCTGAGTTAGTGGGGAACGAAACAATTTAAAACTGCTGATGAAGTTTATGAAATGTGTTCAAATTCCAATTATATGGTCAAGCAAATAATCAAGTTGCTACTAGTGTTCAAAAGATCGAGTGCTCAACTTCCTCCCATTATCTTCCAAAAATGTAAAAATTCCTATAAATGCTCAAATGGCTCTAATATTTATAAGAATATCTTTAACCTTTTGTTATTAGGATCTTGCTAACGAGCGCCCCGGGGCGTTAGATAAGGTTAAATTATATTGGTTGAAATAGTATTAAGTTAGGAATTCATGACAAAATCATGCGTCGTTCGGTGCAATTAATGTTAATTTTACTCTAATATTTGCACTTTAATTCTCTTATCTAACGCCCCGGGGGCGCTCATTAGCTTTTGCCTTGTTATTTCTTATATCGTTTTATTGATCTTATTTTATACTTTGGAACCTAACTTTATTATTTAATTTTATTTTCTTGTTATTGATCTTGTCTAGTTTCTATTTTAATTTCTATTTTTTTAATTCCTGTTATGTGCATTACATGAACATTGATAGTTTCATAATTTTTGTTATTGGATTGTTTTAATCATTTTTCTGTGTTGTATTGGTACATTTATAATTAATTATAATGTTGTACACTTTTGTAATAGTAAATGATCATTTATGTTATATATTTATGTTCAGTAATCAATTTTATGTTAATTTTGTTGTATTTTCAATATATATGTGTATATGTCTATTTTAATGATAATCATTGGTTTGTATTTGTTCATATGTCTTTTAAATAGTGAACAAATTTTATTATATGTTAATGTGTAGAGTTATAAAGATGTTCAGTTATGTAATGATAAATGATCATTTATGTAGATATATATGTTTTTTAATATAATAATAATATAATTGAACATTATTGATATTATATTTGTTTATTATAATTATTGCAGCCAATAGTAGAAATGCTCAAGATACTCTTATTGTTTCAAGGAATGTTCACGCTGCTTCTAGCTAGTGCTTCAACAAATGTTCAAGCTACTACAAGTGTTTCAAGAACTGTTCAAGCTACTACTAGTGTTAGTTCTATGAAGTGTTCGAGGTGGTTTAGGACATACTTCTACTAAGTATGATAAGTTCTTAGTCTTTTTTGATACAAATGTAGCTAAGAGGTTCACTAGTAATGGTAAATGAGGGAGTACATTAGGAAACCATAGCTTTTAAATTACTACTTTCATGAGACTGCATTTTATATTTTTATCATGTAATGGATCTAAGGTTGTGTTTCTATTAAGCAATGTTTTCTTTCAACCTTAATATTGTTAGTGATGTAAATTATTTGCAAATGAACATTTCATAGATACAAAACACCGAGTTGTTAAATATGTTAAAAAAAGAAATACTAGCTATTTAACATACAATATTAAAAAAAGAAATATCAAATTCTATTAAAAAAAATAGAAATACCAAATAAAGACTCTTAAGCGAGTAAAATCTATAAGTTCTATTGAACACATATAAGAACATATATCTTTGTATAAATGAACATATATAAATTTATAAATGAACATGTAATACTACTCTTTTGTAATTTTTCTTGATAATCTTTTGTTGATCCTACATTCAGTGTTTTCTTCAAAAGCATTAGTTGAGTTGTGTATTGCATCCTCAGCTTCTTGATTTGGTCTACCTGTTGATAAAAATGAATATATAATATAATATTAATTGTTATTTAATAATATATAAATGAACGATATATTTTAAGTAAATGATCATTTGATGGACTTACATTGTTTGGGTTTAAGTCACAAATCCATTTTTTATTTTGATCACCAGTGAATGTTTCCATGTGTTTCATAATGTAAACTTCACAATTTGTGTAATCCTCATTGCCACTTTAAATGACACATCACTACAATATAGATTATATCAATTTATATGAAGAAAAAAAAATGTTCAGTATGTATTTCATATATGTTCATATATGTATCTACAAATGAACATTATTTTTTAATATAAATGGCATATTTTTTTACAGGTAGATGCTCATATATGAATTATAAAATATGAATAACATATCCATCTCTAAATTTCATCAAATGTTTCACTTAAAATGGTATAAAACTATAATCTAGCTTTGTTTATTATGCATTTAAAAATGTTCATATATGTATGTAAAAATGCTCATAATATTTAAAAATAATGAACATATTAATAAATGTAAATGCACATATATAAACTATTAAAAAACATTTGAATGTATTACCAAGTTTTGTATGCATGCGTTCATAATGTTTTATACAAATCAATAACACATATTTAAAATAAAAAAAAAATCAAATCTGAATATGTTAATAAATACATATTAACATGTAATTATAGGTAAACATGTGAATATTTTCATAATATGATATGAAAATGAACATATAGTGCTTTATAATTGTTCATTTTACCTAAGCATCCGAGACACTATTTTTACATCTGCAGCCTTAACGCTTGTATATCTTTGAAAGTGTTGGATCTACAATAGGAGATTTTTGTTCGCCGGTTTTTTTGTAGAGGTGTTTCACCATCATCTCAATTTTTACATTATAAACCATTTAATAAATTCTTGTAAATTTAAGAAGTTTGAGTAATATACTTACATTTTTGAAGAATCGTTGTTTCTGTTCTCTGAAATAGATTTCTCCAAACTGAAAAATGAAATTGAAGCAAGTAGATGTTAATTTTACTAATTATTCGAAATAATCACTTTGAAATTGATGAATTATTAACATAAATACTTACATATATACATTTTCAGTTATTAAACTATCAATTTGTTTCCTGAAACACAATCACAAATAAATTCTCAAAAAATTAGTTTTTTTTTTTTTTTTTTTTTTTTAAAAAAAATAAAATTATATGAACATTTATACTTACTCTTTTGATTTTCGCTACTTTTTTTCGGTGAAATTTGCTTCGGTTGTTTGACTTCGTCTCTAATGTCCGCCATGGTTGAAGTTTTAAAGCTTAGATGAGAGAGATAATGGAGAGGGAAAATAAAGAGAGAACAAGATGTTTTTTTTTTTTTTTTTTTTGGGTATATATATTTGTGGGGTAGAGGAAGTTACTGAAATTTTTTTAGGATTTTAGGGAGTAATAGTATGCTGCATTTTGTGAGGGTATAATACTGCAGAAACTATGAAAGTAGGTAGATGGGGGAAGGGGTGTTAAACGATGTGTTTAGAGAGGGGTGTAGGGGATGATGCCTAGACTAGAGTCTAGCCATAAATAATTAGAATAAGAGAGCATAAATCTTGGACTCTTGGTGATCCTTCTTCTAAGTTGCCTAGTGGGATGGCAATCTAATCGAATTCGCTTCTAGTCCGATCCGATTTGAAGAAAAAAATCCGAAGAGAAATAATAATTTGAATCTGACTTCGTTTAAAAAATCCGACTCTGGGTCGGAGGAGGGTCGGAGTTGGAGCCTAATTAGAATTCGACTTATCCGATCCGACTCTGACTTTTCTATGAATATATATATATATATATATATATATATATATATATATATATATATATATATATATATATATATATATATATATATATATATATATATATATATATATATATATATTATATTATATTCAATTCATGAAATTATAGGTCTTTGAAGTTGATTATATATGGGTTGCTATTGATTATAGGGACAAAATTGAATTTAAAGTCGGAGTCGGATGTTGGAAATATAAGTCGGATCGAAGTCAGATTCTTGGAGTCGGATGTCGGAGTCGGAGGCGAAGGCAAATTAAAAATCCGACATCTTATAGGGTCGGAGTCGGATTTTGCATAATCCGATCCAAGTCTAACCCATTGCCATCCCTCTGTCACTTTAATTTCTTTGAGAGTAGTTTATGAGGACCATTCATTACCTCTGATGCAGCCAAGTCAGCAGTAAATGGGAACACACAGCATATGCTTTGGGACTAAACCTCCTTCGGGGCAGCTCAAATGCCAGAAGGCCCAGAACAGGACTTGAAATCAAGGCTCACAAAATTGAGACAGACTTCACTGATACACCCCACTGGTTGCATTTACTGACAACTTCCTGGGCTTCTTTGAACTGACCCAATTTTACAAGGGTATCGACAAGTAAATTACAGGTACATGAATCCAGAACACATCCATTAGCTTCCATTGACATTAAAATATCCATCACCTCGTGAGATTTACCAGTATCACACATTGATTTAATTAGCGCACCATAAGTGACACTGTCTGGAGCCAGCCCCGAGGCAAGCATGGAGACAAACAAATGTTTTGCCTTTTCAATCCTATTCATTTTGCAAAAGCTTTGAATCAAAGCATTGAATGAATAAGCATCTGGGCTTATTCCATCAGCTTGCATCTTTTTAAACAATGCAATGGAACGAGAAATATCCCCAACAATGCACAAAGAGCGAATCAATATGTTGTATGTCACTGAATTAGGATTAACACCCCACTCCTTCATTTCCGCAAAACAATCAAATGCATCTTTAATCTTGTTCACCCGACAGAGACCATCAATTACTGTACTAAAAGTGAATATATCTGGTTTAAAACCATGCTGTAAGAGCGTCACCAAGAATTCACAAGCCCTGTCTATTTTCCCAGTTTTAAAACACCCATCAATTAATGTATTGAAAGTAGTAAGGTTTGGTGTAATGCCTCCTTGTTGCATCCCTAAGAACATATCTAGTGCCTCTTCAGCCATCCTAGCTTTCAGCAAGCAATCTATTACCATATTGTACGAGTTCACATTTGATAGTAATCCAGCTTGAAACATCTGCATCAAATACTGACTTCCTTCTCTCTCTTTTCCCCCTTTGAACAAAGTTTCAATTAGGGTAAGATAACTTTGAAACGATAGATTTAAACCTAATTCTATATAGCTATCCACTATTTCACAAGTCTCCTCAACATTCAGTTTCTTTATTAAACAATTCATTGTGATGTTAAAAACAGAAGTATCAAGCAGATAGCCTCTTTCCCTGCATTTTCTCAAAAATGAAGCTGCCTCTCTGGCCATAGAGTCATTCGAGAGGCAGAGCAATATAGTATCGCAAAGTGCTTTAGGCAAAATTGATTCTCGCTCAACAAATCCAGATAACAGTTTAAATGCCTCATTTTTCCCAAGACAACGGAACACTCCATGCACCAGTGACCTATATGTAGCATCACTAGGAGCCACTTTCTTAACCCTCATTGTCTCCAAAACCCTTAAGGCATCATTTACCCTATTAGCATTACAGTATCCATCAATTAGTATGGTATATGTAAACACATTAGGTGCATAACCTAAACTCGACATCTGCTTAACCAACCGAAGAGCTTCATCGACAACTCCGGCCTTGCAAACCCCATGAATAAGGATATTATAGGTGAACCTATCCGGTTTACAATAATCAGCACACATCTGCTGGAACTTTAAATACGCCAAGTCAAGCGAATTCGACTTTATCAAAGCATCAAGTACAGCATTATATAACCTAGTAGTAGGACTAAGACCCAAAAATGAAATTTGTCCAAAAATCTCAACACAATACTTAGCTAAACCTAATCTACCCCAACTTCCAATCAAAATACATATAAAATCCTCAGTAATCTGATACCCAGAACTCCTAATATCCTCAACTAACTCAGCATTCAACAAAACCGGACCTTTTCTATATAGATTATTACCCAAAACACCGCGAATTTGCTGATTCTTTTGGAATAATGGATTAATATTCAAAACCCAAATATAAAACCTAATTGAAATTAACAAGTTTTCATGATTGTGCAAAATACTAACCACAGATTGTGGGGTTAGAACCACCCTCCCAGCCTTTAATTCATGGTTTAGCAACAAATGCCAATCTTTTCTCAATAAAATCTGAGTTAGGGTTATATGATCAATTGAATTTGGGGGAAATTTGTGTTCAGAAGTATACCTAAAGCTGGAATTGTTATAATTCTAGGTTACAACGTTGATGATTCAAATCATCAGTATAGGTCTTAAATTTTTATTACTCAAAATGGTATGAACTAATTTGAAGTAAAGGGTCATTATATGAGGAAAGGGTGTCACGTTAATTTTTTTTTTTTTTAAATATATCCGATTATCAATACTTTGAGTAATAATCAAGTGTTTTAATCCATTAATTACCCGTCTATGAAAAGGAAAAATAAATGGCTAACTTGGTCTCCATAAAATATGGTCAAAATTTCATGTATACTCTCAATCAATAGCCTATATAAAGATAATTATGTAAATTCACAACTATCAGAAGGATGCAATGCAATAACGAATTTAGGGGTGGTATTCAAGAGAATTAGTTAGACAAACCGGCATCTCAAAAAAAATTCAAGGCAACAACACTAGTTCCGTAGTTTGTAGTCCCCTTCTATCATTATTGTCCAAAGTTAATTCTTGATTCGGTCATGGGTCTCCAAGTCTTAAATCCGTAATTAATTAACAATACTGATTAGTCGTTCAAGTTTAATCGTTAGTCTCCCTGAACCCAGGTATGAGTTCAGGGAGAAAGTTGATATAGTTCCAGATTCCGATCATGACCCTGTGGAACTCATGTGAGTCGGGTCAACTAGTATACTTGGAACTACATACAGCGAGAGGAATAATACATCACTCGCGAGAGGTACCAAATTTTGCACATCCAAACCATCACAACTGTCTACAACGCCACACCAATCATTTGACGAGTTACCACCATAAAACATACACCGCAAACTATCCTAAGTACCACCCAGATTCACCACAATTATTTCAAAGTACCACCATAATTATTCAAAGTACTACCAAAACTATATGATGTAATGCCACTTCTCCACCCAAAACTGTCTACTCCGCCACACCGATCATTTGACCTAGTGACTCATACAGTACTACAGAAGCAATTTCTTAAAACCAATAATACAATGATAACGCAAGTTACAAAACTATGAATGATAAACAAAATTTAAGCCTATATAAAATAGAGTATCTGAACAATGCTTCTCGATTGCTAGTAGAATGCTACTTGGCTCCTGGATTGCCAATCCAAATATGAAATCCATACACTGAATTTCAATTCTCATATATCATTGCCAACCATCAAAATCACCATTACAAATATGTAGTAAAGATAGTTCAATCAATAACAACACAAAACAATGTTGTCAACATAAATTTTACAATGTTATACAAAGAACAGACCTTCTTTTGTGCTTTTGTACCTGGGAGGGGCGGGTAGGACTGGACAATGTTGTACAACAGCAAGCACATTTTTTGCTGCTTATTTCAATAATTAAATAAAATATAGAAAAGAGAATAAGAACAAACTCAACAAAGGTAAAACATCAAAGAGTATACTTACAGTCGACTCTTCTTCACAGGTCCCATCTCTTTAGCTTTTGATCTCAATACATGCTTCTGTATCTTTCCCGTTGCAGTCTTTGGCAAGGGACCAAATACAACAGATTTTGGAACCCAGTAAGCAGGCATTTTGGCCCGACAAAACTTCATAATGTCCTCAGCCAGATGCTGCTGATTCGATTGATCAACATCCGGCTTCAGTGTAATAAATGCACAGGGGGACTCCCCCCACCTCTCATCAGGTCTTGCAACCACTGATACCTCCAATATAGCCGGGTGAAAGTACATAACATTTTCTACTTCCACGCTACTAATGTTTTCACCACCAGATATGATTATGTCCTTTGATCTGTCTTTAATTTCAATATAGTTATCAGGGTGTTTCACAGCTAAGTCCCCGGAATGGAACCACCCATTTGCAAAAGCCTCCGCATTAGCTTTGGGGTTCTTTAAATAGCCCTTCATCACTGCATTCCCCCGGAAAACAATTTCCCCAACAGTCTTCCCATCAGCGGGTACCGGTTTCATATCTTGAGTGTTGACAACGTCAAGACCTTCTAAACCAATATACCGAACACCTTGCCTTGCATTAAGGCGGGCTTGTTCTTCTGGAGGAAGGGAGTCCCACTCTGGTTTCCATGCACATATAGTAGAGGGCCCATAAGTTTCAGAAAGCCCATACGTATGGGCAACACGAAAGCCAATACGGGACATTTCAAAGAGCACGGAGGGAGGCGGGGCAGCACCAGCTGTCATGACGTGCACAACATGTGGTAGAGGAAGGATTTTGTCCTCTTTTTTTGCATTGACGATAGTGTTGAGCACCACAGGAGCCGCACAGAAATGAGTTACTTTATGTTTGGCAATGGCTTGGTAAACTCCCTTAGCAGTCACCTAAAATAATAAAAAAGGCCAGGAAAAAGTATACAAGTGAGGCACAAATATATATATGTTATTATACAGGAAATATCCAAATGAAAAAAACATTAATATACTGGAATTTTGCAAGTGTTAACTTCATGCTGATTTACTTATAACTAATTTCTTGTTTTCTTTCTCGAAAAACATGCAATTTTAAGTAAATAAACTGTTATTTTAGAAAGGCCATAAAAATTTTGAAGCAACTGTCACGGAAACCCCTGGAACTGATAGTTTTACAAGCCAAACAATAAGGTAACAACATCACATCGATGGTGAATTCTTCACAGATTTACAGACATGCTTTTACTACTCCCAACAATGAATATTATCAATGAAAAAAATCTACAACATTATTTCAATACCTCTAAAGAGGCTCCTGTCTACGTAATGTGTGTGTGTGTTGGGTGGGTGGGTGGGGGGGGGGGTGGTTAGGTTGTTACGAAATGACCCTTGATCCTATCTACAACAACTTTATGCTAGTTCACAATGAATATAAAGTGTAAATTGTTTAATAAACCATCTTAATTTAGTATGTTGGAATACAAAAGTTTCAAAATCTTTCATTCTATTATAAATGGATGTCTCCACTCACCACCATGAGCATGAAAGGAACTACTGAGTAATCAGTTATGGCATACTAATTGATTCATTAATCATTATTATGGCAAAATGAAACACGGCATTATAACTCAAAAACGAGCTCCTATAACAACATTAACAAGTTTTTAAAATCCAACATTACCTAGTTGTACAGAAAGCAGCAAAAAGTTTTATGTATTATCCAAATTCTTATAAGAGAAAGGCCATGCGGTTAGACATAGCCTTTTTATGCAGGGAAAATTACTAAATGCAATGTCGTCATACTGCACTATTTAGATTTTCTAAGCTGCTGATATTAACTGATCGTCAAACGAACAGAACCCATCATTTACAATCAATAACAGAACACAATGAGAATAGCAAAGATTTAAAACATAACAGACTTCAATTTCAAGAGGGGAGCAGGTGAAGGCTGTGTATATAATTCTGTTCAGATGAAAGCAAATTGAATTACCTGCCTAAGACATATACTGGTCCCACACATAGCAGCTAGAGTCCAAGTGTAGCACCATCCATTACAATGGAACATAGGAAGAGTCCAAAGGTAAGTAGCTCCCTCAGTCATGTTCCAGACTAGAGCACAACTCAGGGCCATGACATAAGCTCCGCGGTGATGCAAGACCACACCCTTAGGGCTTGCGGTTGTACCAGAAGTATAACCTAGTGTAATACTCTGCCACTCATCTTTTGGTGGTTGCCAAGCATATTCTGGGTCACCTGTCTCCAGAAACTTTTCATACTCAATGGCACCTCTGCTCAATGCGTACTGGAGTCCTTTAGGATCACAACTTTCATCAGCTATGACAATCAAAATTGGTGGCTTAAAGTTGCCTTTGCTTGTATCAGCCACTATCTTCAATGCTTCCTCAGCCAAAGTAAAGAATTCTTGGTCCACCATTACAACTTCTGAAGCAGAATGACCAAGCAAGAAAGCTATTGTCTGTGCATTAAGACGTATATTTACCGTGTTCAATACGGCTCCTGACATTGGAACTCCAAAATGAGCCTCATATATGGCTGGAATGTTAGGAGCAATAATTGATACCTGTTTGTAAAAAAACTAGACATATTCAGCAACATTCCAGCTACAGAAGAATTTGATGATGAAAAAACAAATACTTCGTATGTTTAAAGGATCACCACACAAAGACAAAATGCGTTTTAGAGATCTATAACCTCTATTTTTCAAAGTTTAATGCAATGGATGTATTGCTTATGTAGCAACATGAACTTGATGATTTCACCTTCTAATTTTAGATGATTTTCCTTGTGTAAACCACCGTAAATATAACTCATACTCAAATACTCCGAATATTATTATATACACCCACGTGTATGGTGCACCCAAGGGTATTTTTTTGCTCATTTGATGATTGAATGAGCAATAATCATCAAAATGAGCAAAAAATACCCTTAGGAGCACTGTGCACCCGAGTGTATATAAGAATCTCTCCAAGAACTCAGCCACAATACATAATTAACTCCCTTGCCTAAGTCTAATATGCTACACATAGCCAAGAGCTTAAACACGATGAATGATTTGATTGATTTCCAACCATTACAATCTAGGCCAAACGGCTGGCTATCACTAATCACAAAACCAAGCCATCAGCCAACTTTTTTAGTCAATAGCAATTACCAAGTATGTCAGACCAATTCAACTGCATCCCAATTCCCAAGTACAAGTTTCCTGAATGTAATGATTCTCAATATCAGTCAACTACAAGCTTTTTTCACCACAATCATCACTTTCATCAGTCAATGCATTTTATTATGCTATAGCCCATTTATTTGCAATATATTTTTAAAAGTGACTTCAGAATTATGTAGGCTAAATTTTATATGTATAAACTTTGTACATAATATAAATTTTACGTAAAAGTTCAGACCAAATAAAATACGAAGTACATGTTTTGATCCTTTCATACCATCCAATCCAACACTTCTTTAATACAATATGAACATTAATAACAAAACTTAATTAAATAAGAAAATAATAATAAATGAATCATACATGACTAAAAGCTCGGAATTAATTCACATAACAACCAAAAATAGTACAGTTTTCTGTCTTTTTTTTTTTAGTGTTCTGTCTTTTACAAAGCTCATTTCGTATTCTTTGTCATATGCAGACCGTTAATTAATTTTCGTATTAATTAAATGAAGTGCAATAATTGTAATTAATAACTCTTTCTCAAAATCATTAATATTTTAATACTAGAATATACTCTCTTTATTTTATTTAAATAACTGTGACAAGACGATTGCCAACTTTGTCACGAAATTTAGGAAGGGGCACTGTTCATAAAGGCGGCGAAAGTAAAGTTGATCCATTGAGTTTTCCAGCAAAACAAAGGCTAACACCTATTTGCTATCAAAAGATAATTTTCATACCACTATTCAATAGCAATTATAGTCAAACAATAGCTACATAATTCTATGGTTTATGATAGTTATCAAGATCTCATGACGCATCAATATCAAATAAAAAAATTACAATAATTTGTTACTAAGACCTTCTTACACCAATCATTCGAAATGGCTCTATTCATTAAGTATTTTCTGAGATATTAGTTCAAATAAGCTCTAATAAGTTTTGACAAGTTCTAATAATGTCCCAATTTTAATTAATCACTAGCCTAGGCCACGTGCCATGCACAATAAATCTAATTTTTTTTTAAACTAATTAATAATTATATCTAACAAATAAAAATGATGTTTTAAAGTAATTTCTTTAAAATTAATAATATGAATCAATTTTATTACAGAGTATTACTTTTTTTGGTAAAATCTAACATTACTCTGTTTACCAGATAATTAAAAAGGAGTTTGGAAAAATATTTTAAAGTAAATGTGTATGGAAGAATTATGAATACCAAATAAAAAGGAATATTTTTGTCATAAAGATTATATAAAAGATTTGGAATCAAATTATTATGGTTGTATCAAATATTCACTAAAGAAAAGTTAAAAAGGGAAGGAGAGTTTTGGATGGAAAAAACAGCACCAGGACGTGATACGTGTCACTCTCGTTATCAGTTTTAGTATTTAGTTATTATTATTGACTACAATATTTCTCATTGCTAGCTTTTATCATTGACATTTTAATTATACGTTGATATAAAATCAAATAAAATATTATGAAACGTATATATTTTGTTTTAATACTCCATAGTAGTAAATTTGTAAATAATTACCGTCTAAAATTAGTATATGAATCGCATAAAAAATCGAAATGTAACAATTAAATCCAAGTTACTTATAGTAACTTTATACAGACTACGGAGGTATATCGTACAAGGAATATACCAAAGTCAAAGTTATCCCGGACCGGCCCGGCCCGGCCCAAAAATGGCTATGGCCTATGGGTATAACATTTGGGCCAGAAATTTGGGTTTGACCCAGCCCAGCCCATTTTAAAATTTTATTTAACAATTTGAGCAATCTAAAGTTAAAATTTTTTGAGTTAACTGTACAATTAGGCCCTGAAATTGGCGGAAAGAGTGGTTTAAGCACAACATTTTCGGCCCAATTTGGACCCGACCCACCTATGACCCGGCCCGGTCCATTACGTAAACAAAACACTACACTACTGTATCCCATTAAAGAGAGAAAATTAGACTGATATGAATGGTAAAATGTTGATATTATTTATGTTAAATTTAATTTCCTAAGGAATACTCCATTACAAATTAGGCAATAAAACACAATTGAAAAATAAAATAATACTCGTAATAATTATAAAAAACTACTCAAACTTATCCTTTGACTTTTTTTTTCAATAATTTAAATTTTAATTCAATTCAATTCAATAATACGACATCTACCAGATAAATCAAAACTAATCTGTAATTTAATCAAACTAAAAATAGTAAAAAAAAAAATAAAAAAAAAAAAAGATGGAGAAGATGAGGATTACCGTAGAACCAGTAACGATGTTACGGCGAGAAAGAGCGGAGGCAAATTGACGGCAACGATGATAAGTCTGAAGCCACGTGTAACGAATAGAGGCATGGACGATGGAAGTTCTGGTGGGGTGAACAGTAGCGGCTCTTTCCAAGAACCAAAGAGGAGTGAGAGGTGTGTAATTTGCTGGGTTTTTTGGAAGATCATCAATGTCCTCCATTTTTTCTCTCTCTAGTTGCCAGAAAAATAGGAGAATATTGAATATTTTAGTGGAGAGGAGAGAGAAAGAAGGAAAGGTGGAATATGATTATACTGATGCCACTTTTTGCGTTGGTGAACAATAGAGCCGACGGACGAGTGTTTATATATTGGTACTACTAGTACTAGTGTCCCTCGTTCTACGTGGATTGGGTGCACAATTATTTTATTAGTAATGATATATGTAGTCCTTTGGGAATATACTTTTTAAGATGTAATTAACGTTCATCTATCTTTAATGGAGTATTTTCTTTTTTAGCTTTTTTTTCGGAGGAAAACACAGGGCCAAAATATATTAAGGACAAAACATACGGGGCAATCTCACAAGAACAATAATTAACCCAAACGTTTTCAACCACAAACGGAATAAATCTAGCGAGATGATGGGCAATTGCATTCTCGTTCCTTTTTACATGAGACCAAAAAACGTAATCAAATGAAAGGGAAAGGGAAAGAATGTCCTCTAAAAGGCTATGTAATCAAAACCCCTTACGAATTAACTTAACCCAAGTTAACAAGCTAGACAATTTGAGAGAGTGGGGAAAGATAAGGAAAAAACCAACCCCAAACTGCCCTTTATGGAAATTGAAATTCCAAGCTAACGCTTGAAAGATGTTATCATTTCCTCTAAGTCAAGCTTAACTTGGTACATGAATACATATACCGGATGAATGTTAACTTTTGACTATTATACTAGTACGATACTAGGAGAGTACACTACTGTTGCTGCTGTGGATGGGAAATATTGTATGATGAGTGACTCACATGCGTTTTATTATTTTTAAACATAATTTTGAGTAGATATAGCACAAGTTTTTTAGGGACAATGAATGAGTGAAGGTTAAATGATGGAAATTCAAGTCTACAAAAAAAAATGATAATGTGATTTAAAACAAAAAAAAAATATTGTAGAACGATTCAACCCCACAAAGTGCAAGTGGGCTGCGTTGTTGGGACCTATCTCAATATTCCAGGGTCTAAAAACAATTATATTTCATGTTATCAAAGGTCACTCTAAATTTTCTTAAAAAAAAAACGTCATTCTAAAATTTAATTGATCCATTTATTATTATTCTCCATATATATATTTAGTATTTTTTTATTTTTTGGCTGGGAAACCTAGGAATCTTGGAGTAATGAACATTGAACAGAGAGTGTTTGATTGTTCATCAAGTATTACGGATGATTTGTTTCACGGTGCAATATCAACTCAACGATCGTAATTTTTATGAAGCCCCCTCTCTCTTAAGGAGTCTTGTGTCTAACTTACTTGCTCGGTGTGGGGTGACTTGTGAGAAATTCAATTTGATTATGTGCTTTCTCCTTGCCTAAAAAAAACTACTCTGTACTGAGTAATGAAAATGTTGGCTTCAAGATTGAAAAATAATGTCAATCATGTCCTCAAAATCAGATATTTGAAAACTACACATATACAAATTTAATAAGATTCCATTTAATATACTACCTCCGTTAACGGTTATCTGCAAGATTTACCAAAAACGGGTGCTAACTATTATTTGCAACAAACTTATTTCTTTCCTATTTTAGTAACATTTTTCTGTCAAAATGACCAAAATACCCTCACTTAAAAATTATTAACATATAATACTACACATATCTACAACCCTAATCTAACTTTAATTATCTAAGCTTTTCCTCCAAACAAATCAGATATCTTGGCAGAATTCATCTCCCCCCATCTCTCTCATCTCTCATCATCTCTCATCTTCTTCGATCTTCCATTTCATCATCATCATCTCTCAGTTCATCGTCATCATCATCTCTCATCTCTCATCATCTTCTTTCCCGACAGCCACCACCCCTTCCCCTCCGTGCCGACTGCCGACGCCCAAACGATTTCCCGATGCCGGCGACCCCGTTTCCCCCACCCAAAACCGGCACCCCTAACCCTAAACACCACCCTTAAAACCACCCTAAACGGATCGATTCCCCGGCAACGGCGACCCCCCTCTCTTTCCCCCACCCACGATGCCCCCACTTTCCACCTGAGATTGAGCAAGTTCCAGCTCTGATTTTGTTCTATTTTGTGCAATTGCTTTGATTTTGTTCTATTTTGGGGATACCGAAGCAATTACGGCTGCTGGGTGTTCATTGTAGGGGAGTGTAGGCTGTTGGTGATTGATGGCGGGGCAAGGTGTTGTTGCATGAGGTAGTAGAACAGGAGAAAGTTGATGGGCGGTGATTGTGGTGGTTTCGGTGGGTTCGTGGGTGGCGTGGATGGTGGTTCGTGGGTTCTGGGTGGCGTGTGGTGGTCTAGATCTCCTCCTTCATCATCAAAATCTCACTCCTCCTTCATCTAGGTTTTGTGGGTTTCGAGGGTGGATCTAGGTGTCGGTGATTGTGGGTCTGGGTTTAGGTCTAGGTTTTGTGGTGGTTGATTCCGAGGGTGGTCGGTGGCGCGGTGTTGGGTTGGGTTGCGTAGGGTAGTGGATGGCGTGGTGTTCGGTTTCGTGGTGGTGGTGGTTTAATTGTAATTAATTCATCAATTCGTGGTGGTGGTGGTTTAATTGGGGCTTTTGGGGTTTTGGTGGTTGTTGTCGGTGGATTTTGGTGGTTGTTTTCGTTGGGTTTTGGTGGTTTTTGCTCATTTTTGTGGGTTTGGTGGTGGTTTCCAGTGGGTGCTTGGGTTTTCAGTCGGTTCGGTGGTGGTGGTGGTGGTTTACGGTAGTTTTCAGTGGATTTGGTGGTGGTTTCCAGTGGGTGCTTGGGTTTTCAGTCGGTTCGGTGGTGGTGGTGGTGGTTTACGGTAGTTTTCAGTGGGTTTGGTGGTGGTTTCCAGTGGGTGCTTGGGTTTTCAGTCGGTTCGGTGGTGGTGGTGGTGGTTTACGGTAGTTTTCAGTGGGTTTGGTGGTGGTTTCCAGTGGGTGTCTGGGTTTTCAGTGGGTTCGATGGTGGTGGTGGTTTACGGTGGTGGTGGTGGTTTACGGTGGGTTCGGCGGTGGTGGTGGTGATTCTAGGTTCTGGGTTTGGTTTTAGTGGTTTTAATTAATTGTGGGTTTTTTTTTATAATTGGATTAGTGTTTAAGTATATGCCCCTTATATTTCAATAATCATGTTTAAAAACTTTTGCCTAGGCCTCCGCAATCGGTAATTGTTGCAAATAACCATTAATGGAGGAAGTATTTTTTTTCGTTATGAATTAACGTACATAAAAGTATATGTGTAGGTCAAAAAAACAAAAATAAGCTGAACTAAACATAGCCTATAGTTATAACTATAGTCACTAAATCCGATTTAGACTAGAATATACTTAATATGCCACCTTTTAAAATCAAGTCAAATGGCTGTAATTAACAACTTAATCATGTTCGTGCTCGATCAATAAACTATTCTACATCCATGTTATAAGATTCTTATGTTTGTTAAACCTTTTTTTTTTATATATTTATTTATTTTTAAAAAATTATACATCAACTACGTCTGCTTCACTTTGATTATCTAATCCTTAAGCCAATTATTTTCTTTGGTACATTAATGATCAACCTACCTAATACCTGAGTAAGTTGGATTATGTTTGTTGATAATTTGCCATATCATGTTTCATATTAGTGTTATTACTTCTATACTAAACCTTCATTATACATTTTAGTATACCTAATTTTAGGCGCATATTATTATATTTCACTAATTAACATTTTTATGAGAGATGATAATTAGCTCACATAATTGAATAGTTAAACAGTTAAACTCACATCTCCAATTTTCAAATGTAAAGATAAATTATACACTAGTATATAGTATTTTTATATAATTATAATTTTTGCTTAAATATATAATTCAAATAATATAAGAAAGCAGGTTATACATTGAATAAAAAATGGGTTTGAGGCAGCATGATTTAGACCATTTATAATCAATTATCCAGCAAATATCCAAAACGCCCAAAAAAATAAAACGATAAAGAAAGGAATATTATATGTTTGTAATTTTGGCTGTTTCTGTAAATGGGAGACAAATTGTGCAAATTGATTTTAAATAATCAATTCAAGAACATAATTCCTTTTATTTACTAATGGACAACCATATTTAATAAAATGGACAACCCTAAAAAAATAGGAATATTCTTATATGTAAAAATTATAACAATAGAAAAAAAATAAGGATCTACATCTAAAAAGACAATCACACATTAAAATTCAATAGTAATCTATATATATATATATATATATATATATATATATATATATATATATATATATATATATTCATTCCGTGTTATTATATGTATGTAAGTTTTTTTTTTTTTTTTTTTTTTTTTTTTTTTTTTTTTTGTGTTTTTTACTGAAACTCATTATATATAAGTTGGATAATGAAAGTAAATAATTTTTTTGGAAAATTTAACAAGAATAATCCAACCTTTGCCTCGTTCTCCCAAAATAAACCAACCTTTTGATTATTCCACAATAATCCAACCTTTATACCCCTTCTTCCCATATCACACCTTGCAGGTCACCTTACCCTTTCAACCGGTTACCCATCCACGTGGCACTTCCTAATTGGTCAATTTTTTATTTTTTATTTCAAAAAAAAAATTAATTAAAAATAAATAAAAAATGATAAAAAAAATTAAAAAAAATTCTCTGAACTCCTTCCCCCTTTCTGCTCCTCTACCTTCCTCCATTATCAATTTATCACCCATCAAACCACTCAACACACCATCCACGGGACAACCACCACCACCACCACTACCAACACAACCGAAAAGAACACCCACAATAACAACAACCACCCACAACACAACCAAAAACATCATCGTATCCACCAGGCCACCACATCAACGCCCAACAACCACCCCAATTCAACTTCAAATTTAATGGTGGATACGATGATGTTTTTGGTTGGCTGGTAGAATTATTGTTTTATGAGTGGGGGTGGGGGTTAATTATTCCTGACAAAGCTTATAACTAAGCAATCTCAAAGAAATCGCTTGGTGTAAGACAACGGAGTTGACAGACGACGAATTGATTCACAAATTATAAGTGAACAATACGAATTGATGCCACGGAAACAGTTTATAAGGGGTTCGATAAGCTTTCTGGTAAAGAAATCGCTTGGTGTAAGACAATATGGTGGGGGT